ATATAATAACATACTCTAGATTAACACAGATAATATAATAACATACTCTAGATTATAATGACCTGATTATAAGTACCTGATGATGACAAAACCTTGTCGAAACGTTCTACATTTGCTGTCATGTTAAACTTATATTAAAGTTTTTCTTCATTACCCATTTAAGCCGTCTCCAGCCATTATTAGTCTCAAAGTGGGTTCCTCGTCATCGAATACTGTTTTTCTATTGTTTCTTCTTCTTCCAGACCGCCATTCCTTCATTTCTCGGTGGATTGACTTGAAACTTGGTAGGGTTATATCTTGGTCCAATACGCTCAATTACTTTTTGTTTTGTTTTTTATATTTAGGCCTTTTTATGGTAAAACAACCCAAAAATGTATATTTTGGGCTCCTGTGTGTTCATACTTACAGCAAACAAGATGAAAATTGGCACAACACATTTGACATACAAAAAAGTTAGATCTGCCCGTTTTAAGTCTTTTTCATTTATTTATCGAGGGGGGAGAGCTCACACAAAAAATGCATAATTTGGTGAATTAATCGGCCGTATTTTGACCAATTTTACAAAGGATTTAGTATAAAGATACTTTTCTACAGGTCACACACACACAGACAAACAAAAATGGTGGATTTGCCTATTTTAGTAATTATAGAAGGGTCAAGATGCCACAAAAAGTATAATTTTAGGGTTTTTTTGACAATGCTCCGCCGTATTTCGGCCAATTTACATGGGATTTGGTAAGAAGATACTTTTTTACAGGTCCCAAACAGAGATTTAGACAATTGTGGATTTTTTGTCTTTTGCTCAATATTTAAGGAAGTAAAGCTCACTTTGGGGTTTTCATGAATTATTCATATGTACGTCAACCAACTGACATTGGATCTGGTACAAAGATACCTTCTTGCCAGTCCCAAACAGTGATATAGGCAGTTTTCGATTTTTCTGTGTAACAAAATATCGAATTGGTCATTCTTTGTTTTACGAGCTAGAAATTGTTACTAAGACCCTGCTGTGTATAAGTATTTGAAATATTCTGAATAATAAACAAGTTGTTGGCTTGTTAATCTTAAGTTCTGCTACTTTTATTACTTACTTGTTTGTTTTGAATTTCACACAATGCTACACGAGGGCTATCTGCGCTAGCCGTTCCTAATTTAGCAGTGTAAGACTAGAGGGAAGGCCAACTCTTGGGCTACTCTTTTACCAACGAACAGTGGGATTGACTGCCACATAATAACTCCCCCACGGCTGAAAGGGTGAGCATGTTTGGTGTGACAGGGATTCGAACCCGCGACCCTCAGACTGCGAGTCGAGCGCTCCAGCCTGGTACTTATTTCATGTATATCCTTTTTATTACTACTTACACAATTTCTGTTTCACAGTTGGGTCCCTTTAACGTATGCCCTCTCATAAGATTTCTGCCTTATTTTTTTAATTATCGGATCTAATAGGTTGTGCCTTAGCGATGGAGGTATGGATGACTTGACCTCATACATAAAATCTTAAATAAAGGTGTCTAATTGTTACTATGTGGAATTAAATATAACATATTTTTATTCACTTTTGCGACAAATGAAAATAATTGATACGTATTATTTTTGAACGCCAATTTGCAGGAAAAGACACCCATCTTTGTCCGACTTTGAAAATGTGATTAATGGCGTTTTACTTATTTTTTCCCAATCAATAATGAAGATATTATCTACAATAATATAAGGGTGAGTCTCTGTGTGTGACTGCCATAACTCCAAGAGGAAAGAATCTAGAACCCTAAAATTTTGTACACATGTTAAGTTGACCCTGAGGGTGTGCACCTGGGTATTACTACTTATCTATGTGCGCATCATTTGTGAGGTAAGTAAGCGAAAAACAACATAGAAAAGAATATGTGACCGCTATAGCTCCAAGAGCAAATAACCTAGAAATCTGAAATTTTGAACCTATACTAAGTGGACTCTAAGGGTGTGCAGCTGGGTATTATTACTTATCTACGTTCGTGCGCATCTTTTTATGCGAAAAACCACATAGAAAAGAAATGTGACCGCCATGGAATGCTAGTGTGTTTTAACTATTATGGAATGCTATATTATTTTTCTTTAACTATTATAGGATATTATAGTGGTTTTTTAAAGCTATTATGGGACGTTATACAGTAGTTTTTAACTATTATGAAATGTTATTGAGTAGTTTTAATTATTATTGGATGCTATAAATTGGTTTTAACTATTATGGGCTGTTATAGTGGTTTTTAACTATTACTAGCATATAGCCCGTATTACCACCCCTACCCCCATACTATACTCCAACCTAACATTTCATAGATAACTAAAATAAATATATTTTGCGAAATCAAGCTTGACCAACAAAGAGTCAGAACATGAGATGTTATACTGTCGAGAACGCTTTCACGCTCCTTTCAACAATATATATCATCATTTAGCAACAAAACTATTATGGGATATTATAGTGTGTTTTAACTATTATGGATTGTTATACTGTCGAGAATGCTTTCACGCTCCATATTTGGTAATGATCAACAATATACATCGTCGCTTAGCAACAAAACTATTATGGGATGTTATAGAGTTTTAAACTATTATAGGTTGTTATACAGTACTTTATACAGTGTTTTTAACCATTATAGGATGTTATAGTGTAGTTTTAACTATTATGAGACTAGCGTATAGCTTGTCAAAAATGAGGGGGGAAGAACTACCATCCCCACCTCATAGTATACCCTAACCTCACATTTGTTAGCTAACTGAAATAAGTACAATTACTTATTTTAATAATATATTATATAATTGAAATTAGATCCTAGTTTTACAGCATAGGTTTTGTGTGATAAAAGTTGTTAATATAGGAAGTGGGTTTACGAACTTGATGAGCCAAACAGCTTTCCATGTGATCCTAGTTTTTGTGTAAGAAAAGGGTATAGCCCGTCAAAAGTGACGGAGCAAGTACTACCACCCCCACCTCATAGTACACACTAACCTTACATTTCATAGCTAACTGAAATAAATAAATTTTGCGAAATTAAGCTTGACCAACAAAGAGGCAGAAAAGTGCGGTCGAGGCAGTCAAACGTCGTAAATTATTTTTACTGAGGCAAGATAGCGAAAAACCTCATAAGAAAGAAGTGGTTCCTTATATAACAACTTCTAATATATAGAAAACCCAATGCGTTTTGGTAAGAATGCGTTCCAACAATGGCTTTTATGTCATACCACTTAACAACAAAAGTATATAGGTTGTACTTTTATGTTAAAATGGGTTCAGAATACACACACACTATCAACCTAATAACCCGAGCGAAGCCGGGTACTTTCGCTAGTAACAAATATAATAAAAAAAAATTTATAAAGACAATATATACGTAATCTAACTAGCTATAGTAATATCAAAAGTTTTAATGCTACAAAAATGATTGAAAAAATAAAGTCAAAACTACAAAAACTGAGTTACTTAAAATAAAATAAAAATTCATCCCTATTTTGGCAAGTCACTGTAATTATGTTAGTCTGAGCCAAAGTAGGGATAAAATGTTTT